TATATCAACTAGAAATGAAAATACAGAAAATAAACCAATCACCCCTTAACATTATCATTTTTCTCAAGTCATAGTCTAAATTGTGCATATACCTTGCATAGATTTCACAATTATCATTACACTTCATAAACCATATAGCAAATGACAAACTCTGATTCACATGTTGATTCTTCAGTTGAACCAAACACTAAGCAATATATACACCCACTCCTTTAAAGGGTCATCATAAAACTGAGAAAAATGGATTAAAAGAAAAGAGGCATACTCTGGAATTGGGTTCCTCTGTTTCAGTAACCTTCAATTCTGCTGGAAGATGGTCTTTTTCTGTGCCAACTGCAACTGAAGAAGAAGAAGAAGAAGCTGAGAGTGTAAAGGGAGAAGAAGTGTGGCGAGAGCGAACGGGTTGAAAGAGGTGAACATGAGGCGAAAAGGATGAGAGTTTAAGGGAATTGAATTTGAAGGGTATTGTAGCGTTGGCATTGGCACGAAGAGGAAGAAAAGAGTTTGAAGAAAATGAAGGGTTGAAAAGAAGAGAACTTGTGATGGTTAGTGTGCACAGTTCCATTGTCACCAGACAGACACGCACAGAGGTTGTTGCTCGGATAAAAGAGATATTTATCCGTCTTTTTAATATTAATATTTATTTTAAAACTACCTTAACAATTTCAGTAAATTTTCTGGAGCTCCAAAGTTTCAAAGTTTACAATTATGGAATTTTTTAGATAAATACTCAAGTTCTTGGTTCAATGACTTGGTGATCAATTTTAGTTCCTTAACAATTTTCTACGAAATTTGAAATTAAATAATTGTGTTTTAGAAGTTAAATATTGCTAGACATCCATTTACATTAAAAAAATGTTATAATTATTTTTTATGGATGAATTCAAGCATACTTTTTGGTAAATCATTTTCCTTCACATTCACGAACATCGTTTTATGTTAAGTCCGCTATTAAACTAAATTCAATGGATTCTATGCGAGATTGATATTTATGTTGAATTTATGGCTCGTGATTCTCGTGAAAATGTATAAGCATGTTCGTGACATATAATACTAGTAAAATATTGAATTGTGTTTCACTAAATGGGATTATTTAAAAATATTTATATATTTTATTTGAAAATAAGTTATTTATTATACTCAATAAATAAAAGAATATAATATTTTTATCATAATAAAACTTTATTTTTAATTTAAAATATTAGATTTTCACCTCAATCATATACACAACTTTTGAAATACTTATATAAAAATATACTTTTGAAATATTTATATAAAAATATACTTTTGAGAAATAATATTTTTTAGTAATGTTATTTTCTTAATAATAAATACAACATAAGAGAATAATATTTTTATCTTTAGATTTTTAGGAAAGTAAAACCTTTCCAAAAGTCAAAGTAATTATTATAATTTGTAACTAGAAGACAAAGTTAAATTATTTTATATATATTATATACAAACATGTAATGATATATCTTATAATAATACACTATTTGTAACTAAAATTTATTTATATTTATAATATAAATATAATATATATTGATATAAAATATGTAAATATAAATTATAGTGATATATAATATATATTATTAAAATTTATTTAAAATTAATATTAAAGTTATGCATAAATATATATTAAATAAAGTTTTATTTACATACAATATGT